TGCGTGAACTAGTTCAAAATTCAAGTAATGGGATGCTGCTTGTCATCTCAACTCCAGGTCATCTCTGCAGGAGTTCCTCAGGGTAGTGTCCCAGGCCCAACCATCTTCAGCTGCTTCATCAATGACCTTCCCTCCATCATAAGGTCAGAATTGAGGATGTTCGCCAATGATTGCACAACGTTCAGCACCATTCATGACTCCTCAGATACTGAAGCAGTCCATGTTCACATGCAACAAGATCTGGACAATATCCAGGCTTGGGGCTGACAAGTGCAGTGCTATTCACATCACACGAGTGCCATATAACGACCATCTCCGACAAGACGGAACCTAACCCCTGCCCCCTGACATTCAGTGTTACCATCACCAAATCCCCCATCCTGAAGGTTGTCACTGATCAGAAATCAAACTGGATCAGCCATATAAATACAGTGCCTACAAGAGCAAGTCAGAGGCTGGGAATGCTGCAGTAAGTAATTCAGCCAAAGACAGTCCAATACCTTCAAGGCACAAGTCGGGAGTGTGAAGGAACACTCCCTATTTGCCTGGATCAGTGCGGCTCCAACAACACTCAATAGGCTCAGCAGCACCATCCAGGGTAAACCAGAGGCTTGACTGGAACCACATCCACCATTTCGAATATTTACCATGTGGAGGTGCCAGTGTTGGACTGGGGTGGACAAGGTCAGAAATGACATGACACCAGGTTATAGTCCAACAGGTTTATTTGGCATCACAAGCTTTCACAGCAGATTTCAAATAAACCTGTTGGACTATAACCCTGGTGTCACGTCATTTCTGACCTTGAATATTCACGTCCTTTTGCATTTGCAAAGCAGCGGCAGTGTGTGCCATCTGCAAGATGCCCTGCAGAAATTCACCAAGATCCTGGAACAGCACCTTCCACACCCATGGCATTTACTAACGAGAAGGACAAAGGCAGTAAATACAGGGAGCCCCAGCAATTACAAGTTCCCCTGGAGCAATTACTTCTTAACATTGAAAGGAAATCTGTCACCTTATTGGTGAAAGGAATACTCCAGGACGGCAGTCTGAATATCTATCTCCTATCCAATTTGTCATGCAGTAAGATGATGAGTATATTTCAATCCTCGTAAATAATCTCCTGTTCTGAGAAACTGCTGTGGGTTTGTTCACAATGACAAACACTTGAGTAATAATGCTTGAGGTTTCAGGTGCACAGTATTGACAATGTTAGAAAAACCTCAACACTGGCCTGTAAGAACAGTTAGCAAGAAGCAGCCTTTTCAGCCTTTGGCATCAATGCTTATGTTGTCACAGAACGTGTGGCCATCTTTAATGAGAATCGGCAACAAAAAAAAACTCAATCTGGATGGGTGTCTGCAGCTAATAGTGTCCTTTCCAATACCTGCACAGATGCTGGGACTAACAGCAACAATATCCCTTTTCCTTCCCAAAAGGATCTTTCTTCCTCCCTCACTGGCAAACTGACAAGTGAAAATGTGCGAATGTATGAATCAGGGTGCTCAGTTCCTCCAGCCTACTCTCTCTGCCATTCATTAAGATCAGGGCCACCAATCTGTTTACTAACTCAACTCCACGCGCAGCCCCTACCCAATCACCTGAGATACTTGAATAAAGAAAATGTCAATCTATCTTCACCTTAAGCATACACATTAACTCTAACCCCATTGCTCTGTGAGGAAGAATTACAAAGACTCACGCCTCTCTGATTAAAAATTTTTCATAGAATCCCCACAGGTGGAACAGGCCATTCAGCCCATCAAGTCCACACCAACCCTCCAAACAGCATCCCACCCAGACCCACCCTCCAGCCCATCCCTGTAACCCTGCATTCCCCATGGCTAACCCACCTAGCCTGCACATCCCTGGGGCAATTTAGCACGGCCAATCCACCCTAACCTGCACATCTTTGGGCTGTGGGAGGAAACGGGAAAACCCAGAGGAAACCCACACAGACACGGGAAGTGTATGCAAACAGACCCTTCGGTCCAACTTGTCCAAGCCGACCAGGTATCCTAAATTAATCTAGTCCCGTTTGCCAGCATTTGGTCCATATCCCTCTAAACCCTTCCTATTCATGTATCCATCCAGATGCCTTTTAAATGTTGTAATTGTACCAGCCTCCACCACTTCCTCTGGCAGCTCGTTCCATACACACACCACCCTCTGCGTGAAACAGTTACCCCTTAGGACCCTTTTATATTTTCCCCTCTCACCTTAAACCTATGCCCTCTACTTTTGGACTTCCCCCAACCCCATTCACCCTATCCATGCCCCTCATGATTTTATAAACCTCTATAAGGTCACCCCTCAGCCTCCGGTGCTCCAGAGAAAATAGCCCCAGCCTATTCAGCATCTCCCTATAGCTCAAACCCTCCAACCCTGGCAACATCCTTGTAAATCTTTTCTGAACCCTTTCAAGTTTCACAACATCCTCGCTATAGCAGGGAGACTAGAATTGCATGCAGTATTCCAAAAGTGACCTAACCAATGTCCTGTACAGCTACAACATGACCTCCCTACTCCTATACTCAATGCACTGACCAATAAAGGCAAGCGTACCAAATGCCTCCTTCACTATCCTATCTACCTGCGACTCCACTTTCAAGGAACTACAAACGTGCAATCCAAGGTCTCTTTGCTCCACAACATTCCCCAGGACCCACCAGGAGCTGCGGCTTGTCTGAACACCAACATTGTGAAATCCGCAGCAAAGGCTAGCCAACAAACCACACGCGACTTCCACTATAAATTTAAGTCAAGTTTAAGCGTCCACCAGTGTGGAAATAAATTTGGGAATAAAAGTGGTCGCTTTTATGCTTCCCCTTTGTATTTGTTCAAAGCTGTTTTTCCTGTCTTGTCTGCCAAATTCCAATTCCTGGACTGGGAAGAGCAGGTCATTGATTCCCAAATTAACAGCCAATGCTGGGCTTGCAACCAAACACAACCAGCAACACACCATTTATCAGCTTCCAGTGGTTCCCATCTCCCTGTAGGAACTTGGATCATTCTGAACATAATCTTGCTGATGAATTAATCTTTCCTCATCGCTAACGATTCGTATGCCCCTATCACAAGTAGTTCTTTCTATGTTTTGGGTTTCCTGAGAGACCTCTACATGAAGGTCATGTTTTGAATTTGTAGCCATTCAGAAAACAGTGAGCTCAGTCATTAGCACTGCTGCCTCACAGTGCCAGGGACTGGGGTTCGATTCCACCCTCGGGCGACTGCCTGTGTGGAGTTTGCACATTCTCCCCGTGTCTGCGTGGGTTCCCTCCAGGTGCTCCGGTTTCCTCCCACAGTCCAAAGATGTGCAGGTTGGGGTGGATTGGCCATGCTAAATTGCCCCATAGGGTCCAGGGACGTGCAGGCTAGGTGGGTTAGCCATGGGAAATGTGGAGTTACAGGGATAGGGTAGGGGAGTGGGTCTGGGCAGGTGTGGACTTTCGAGATTTTACGAACTGAAAAAAAAAGGAGCTGGATCAGGCATTTGGCCCTTTCAGCCTGCCATCTCATTCAGCACCTTCATACTTGATCCATCAACCTTTACCTTAGAAATCCCTCATGTCTAAGTATCTACAGCTTTGTAGAGTAGAGAATTCCACAACCCTTTGAGTGGGGCAACTTCTCCTCATCTCAGTCTGAAAACAACCCACCAGCCTGTGTGATAATACTGTGGAGTGAAATGGGTAACAGTGGATCTTAACTAATTACCATTTTCCTTAAATCCTTTTTAACGGTGTTGCATAAAGTCAGAATCTATTTAAATTTAGTTCTATCCTTGCAGTTATTGCAAAACTGAAACGTATGGAGGAGGCGGGGGGGCGGGTGGGCGAGGTTGGGGGGCGGCTCTGGTTCCTGTTGCTCTCCGCACTGTCACAATCCCACAATTTGGAGATAAACAGGGGGTCTACACTTTCCAACCTCACACTGGCGATGAACCTTACGTCCAAACTGTGCCTGGTACAGAAGTGCTCTCTCGTTGCTGCTGTTTCTGGATGATGCCAGCTGCTGTCCTTACAGCGCAGGGTGGGTTTTTAGTGAGCATGAGAGGCAGGAGGAAATCATCCCCATTGAGACCCTATTCAGTCTCCTTTGACCCCCCACCAACCCCCCCTGCGGGTTCGCTCCAACGTACTTTATCATGGAGTAAAGCGTTACAGACTTGTGTTTGGGATTCGGATCTCCCCCCACTTTAGCCAAGTGCCAACCTGTCTGCTCCTTATGAAAGCCACTGCATGTCAGGTCTCTCAGTGTATCAAACATAACCAATATGCCAGGTCACTCCTGAGGCTGGGAGGCAGGGCCCCCTCCTTTGTAGAACAGTTGCCACCTCAGGCTCTGCTCTCTTGGTTTCATGAGATTTGGTCTGGGGATGGGTGGGGTTCCTAGCTCTTAGAAGGGCAACCTGGAACCGAGTGGATGGGCACTAGCATCGAGTGGATTCTATTACTTTTCCCAGCAAAATCCCAGCCGGACTCCTGGACGGATTCATCTGGAAGAATGGAGTGATATGGAACAATCCAAATTGATGCTATTGCAAACCTTTGCCATAGTTTGGAAGATAATGCAGTTCAGGGAAACAGGAAGACGTTAGGAATATTTACAATATGCAATACCTTTGTTAACAGAAATACAATGATTGCAAAGAACAACAGTGAAGCCAAACGTCACGTCACAGATTGCTGAAGGAACACACTTTATTTCAAAAGTTTTTGCCTTACACTCATCAGGATATTTGTAAGAATACCAATGAAAAGGAGAACAACATTTTATACCCTATCAGATAGGAGTGACAATTAATTGGGCATGGAGACAGCACCATGCAAGTAGCACTATTAACATTCAATATAAAATGTGTTCTCTTTTACAGTGGTATTCTTGCAAACTGTCCTGATACATGTAAGATGTAAAGCTTTGTCAAAGAATGTCTTTTTAAAGCAACACTCAAGTTCTGTATGAGCAAAGGTAATCATTTTGAAGAAAGCACCAACCTTTACACCAGGAGGACCAGGGCGACCCGGGTTTCCATGTGGTCCTTGGCGTCCCTAGTGAATAAAAACACAAAGAAATCAAATTACATGAATCTCACATGGACAGCTTGCTTCGCATCAGATTAAACGCATTTTATAACTCCCATCAGAATCAGCTCTGATCAAGAGTCACTGGACTCAAAACATTAACTCTGCTTTCTCTCCACAGATGCTGCCAGACCTGCTGAGCTTCTCCAGCAATTTCTGTTTTTGTTTCAGATTTCCAGCATCCACAGTTCCTTGTTTCACTCATAATTCTAATTATTCGTCAATACAGAGCTCTTACTCTAATGATCATTAGAAAATCGGAGCACAAGAAATGGGAGTAGGAATAGGTCATTCAGCCCCTTGAGCATTCTCTGTCATTCAGCAACAGTCACTAATCTTTTACCTTATCATCACCTTCGCACACAATCCCGATATTCCTTCATTCTCAAAGCACCCAAAAAAATTGCCCGGCCTCTGTACTGAATGTACTCTCTGACTGAGCAGCTGCTACTTTCTGCAGTTGAGAATTCTTAGATGAAGAAGATTTTCATCTCTGTACTTAAAAGGCAGCCTCCTTATTCTATAGCCCCTGTGTTCTTCAAGCAGAGGGAAAACATCTCAAGCCCCTGAAGAATTTTTTACGGCTCAATTAGATCACTTTCAATTCTTCAAACCTCCTGGAAAGGTAGGTCTGGTCCATTCAATTTCTCACGGGATAATCCCTACCTCCTAAGGACCAATGAATAAACCTTCACTGCACTCCCTTCAGGGCAAGAATATTCTTTTCTTTTCCCTTTAATTAACCCGCTCAGAAACATTACCACACAGCTCTGGAGCAAGTGGGGCTTGAACTCAGGCCTCTTGATCCCAGGGTAAGGACTCTACATCTGCTCTACAAGACGGCCCCTATAAGTATATTCTTCCTGAGGCAAGTCAACCAAAACTGCACTCAAAACTCCAGTTGTAGCTGTCAGGATTGTTGCGGGGTCCCCCAGCGGGACATCACAGAATGTGAGTTCCCACATTGGGGCTGTAAATCTGGTCCAATCAGGGAGCCCTGGCTGACACAAAAGCATGAATGTCAGGGATACTGGTGAGAGGCGGTGCTATTGTCAAAGGCAATGCATTTGTAAATAAAGAGTGAATGGTGATGGGATGCTGGCCTCTGAGGAGTTATGTTAGTAGCCTCCTCTACACCCTACACTTTCTGTCCAGTTATGGTCTCCCTGTTATAGTAAAAATATTATTAAGCTGGAGAGGCTTCAGAAGACATTTACCAGGAAGTTGCCAGGAATAGAAGCTTTGAGTTATAAGGAGAGGCTGTATAGGCTGGGACTTTTTCCACTGGCGCATAGGAGATTGTGAGTTGACCTAATAGAGGTTTATAAATTAATGAGGGGTATAGATCAGGGTATAGAATGGCAGGTGTCCCTTCCTCAGGGTGGGGGATTTCAAGACTTTGGGGGCATATTTTTAAGGTGAGAGGTGAAAGATTTAAAAAAAAACATGAGGGTCAACTTTTTTACACAGAGAGTGGTTTGTTTGTGGAATGAACTTCCAGTAGAAATGGTGGATGTGGGTACAGTTACAACGTTTAAAAGATATTTAGATAAGTTCATGAATAAGAAACGTTTGGAGGGATATGGGCCAAGCGCAGGCAGGTGGGACTAGTTTAATTCGGGATTATGGTCGGCATGGACTCGTTGGACCGAAGGGTCCGTTTCCATCCCGAATGACTTTATGACTCTGCAATATTGCACCTTGAGTAATTATTTAATTGATACCTGTGCAAATATAAGGTGGTAACATTTCTCTTTGCTTTTTTGGTTTAAACACATATAAATGAATGTGGCAACATACATACATTAATATGAAGTATACATCATAGACACAGACATTTACAGCATAGAAGGAGGCCATTCAGCCCAATATGTCCACACTGTCAACAAAGATATGTAGTTTTATTATGTATACAAGTCTAAATACCAGATAAAACAACTCAAACCAAGCATTGTACAACATGGCCATGTTTTCAATAAGCTTTTATTTCAATCATCATAAGTTGAAGTATTTTTTAGTGTGGTTCAATATTAAGACTAAGATGGTAATGTACTGGAGAGTGCTTTTGCTAGAGTGATTGATGGCATGCATTCCATTGTATACACTCAACAGTGCATGCTCATTAAATCAACTTGAGCAAAGACATGCTTTCTTCATTACTGCTCTACTCTAAGGGTCGGTTTAGCTCAGTTGGCTGGATGGTTTGCAAAGCAGTGTGATACCAACAACATGGTTCAATTCCTACACCAGCTGAGGTTGACCCCCAAAGAACTCTGCTTCTCAACCTCTCTCCCCTCACATGGTGGTCCTCTGGTTAAATCACCACCAGTTGTCTCTCTGTCTAATGAGAGAGCAGCCCTATAGTCTGGTAAGACTGTAGCAACTTGACTTGACCTTGGAAGTATAGAGAGATTACAGTGTGTTGCAGAACCTTGCCCGTTTCTCCTTCCAACTCCAAACAATCTACTGTATCTCAGGTTCCACTGGTTAAGTTGATGAAATCCACAGCTGCATATTGCAGCTAGAGATGACAGGCATGTGGTTTGTCTGTGGTCATGTTTAAGTGACCTTTAAGTCAAACTTGAGGTTCATCTCATTTCAGACTGTGTAACATCTGGCTCCGAAGTAGGACATTATAATGACACTGGAGTATCTCTGCAAGTCAGTACCATTCCAGCCAGTGAAATATTCCATCTGTTCAAGTAAAAGATGAGGTTCTGTCCACTTTTCGCTGGAATTTCTGCCTCTTTATTGAGAGGCCTAGGGTGAGAATTTAACAGATTCAAAGCCATTTTAGCCACTACTGGCCTGAATGGGCTCCTTCAGCACTGTAGTAGTTGTGATTTTTGTGAAAACAGAATCAAAATACAACCCGTAGGCAGGTACTGAGAAAGGCGATGTGGCTGTAGTACCTGGTCTGATTCAGTATGTGGTTGAGCAAGTTCAGGGCTGAGGAGATTACCAGAGGGTTGCAGCGGGAGAGAGATCCACTGAGGTCTTTCCAGAGGGAAGAGGATAACTTCTTCAAGGTGGAATTCCTTAGAAAAGGCTTCGCAGTGGGGTTATAACTCACTCAGATATAGCAAGAACTGCCAATGCTGGAGTCAGAGATAACACAGTGTGGAGCTGGAGGAACACAGCAGGCCAGGCAGCATCAGAGGAGCAGGAAAGTTGACGTTTCGGCTCGGGACCCTTGTTCAGAAAATACAACCGTTGGTTTACAGGTGTAAAATTTGATTTTCACTTGTGGCGATCAATGAGCACATGGTTGTTGGCGGGTGTGGAGAAAGAGGAGGGTGTCACGGAGGCTCAGCGGTTAGCACTGCTACCTTATAGCGCCAGGGCCCCAGGTTCGATCCCACCCTCACGCGACTGTCTGTGTGGAGTTTGCACATTCTCCCTGTGTCTGCATGGGACTGGCCATGCTAAATTGCCCACAGCGTTCAGGGATGTACAGGTTAGGTGGATTCGGCATGGGAAATGTTGGGGTGGGTGGGGACGCTCTTTTGAGGGTCAGTGCAGACTCAACAGGGCACTGTTGTGATTCTGTGAAATAAAGGAGGGTCAAAGCAATTCCTCGACATACTCACCCAATATGTCATCCTAGCAGGTGTCAGCCAAGGCTCTAGTACTTGACACTGAAATAAGTCTACAGAGGTCGGTGTCCTGTTACCCTTTATTTACATGAACAGTCCATGACTACAGTACTGCCTCATTCAGAGTCAGGTCCCAGAGTGCACCTGACACTCCATCTTTTTATCTGTCAGCCAGGGCTCCCTGATTGGACCAGGGTAACAGCCCCAATCAGGGAACTCCTAATCTATGAGGTCCTGCTGCCTGACCTTGTTACAGTCACTACAGACAGGGCTCCACTTAATGTCATACTGTGTGATCTGTTAATGCTATTCAAATGTTATTATAAACAGCTGCCAGGCGCAGCATCTGGGATCAACTCTGTCAAGGTCACTAGGGATGGGAAAATTTTACATTCTACACATATAAAACTTGTTTTGTCAGGAATAGGGAATTATGAACTTACTGCAAAACTGAAAACATTGATTTAACAATGTCTAACAGTTTTGCTGCATTTGTACCCAGACTGCTGCCAGAAAAATCAAAGTTCCCGTCAATTCACTGACTTCTAATTGGTTACAATCTATAAGGGACTCGAACAATGCATTCTGCAGAGAATTACAGGCAGATTTTTCTGTACTTCTGTGTTTAAATATGCAGATGCAGAATCTTGAGGTTGCAATCCAAGGTGTATGGACAGTGAATGCTGACAGACTCATCATCCTCGATAGCCCAAAATTCACATGGAGAGCTCATCATCTCTCAACCAAAGTGGGATTTGTAAGGGGAGCTTAAAATTTCAAAAATTCAAAAACTGAACCTCCTACATAACATTTTACCTCAGGAGTGAAACAGAGGCCAGGGTGTGAAAATGAGTAAGTATCCTAACTTTAATTTGACTGTGTAGATGTGCAATGCGACCAGCACACCTCTGATTAACAACTTTGTAGGTTTAAAGAGCATAAACAATATTTTTTCTGAACATTTACTTGATAAATTAATTTTGGACAGCTGTGTTCACAGCACAGTCAAACCTAACCATTCCGACTCATTCCTCCAATTCCTTTTAACAACCTTAAAGAAATGCTTCATTCAGGAAAGCTAACACAATGTTATTTGTTATGAGGAGAATTGAATACTGCTAGGCCATAAGATATAGGAGCAGAATTAGGCCATTCAGCCCATCAGGTCTACTCCAGCATTCCATCATGACTGATCTGTTCTCAACCCCATTCTCCTGCCTTCTCCCCGTAACCCTTGATCCCCTTATTAATCAAAAATCTACCTACCTCTGTCTTAAATACACTCAGTGGTTTGGCCTCCGCAGGCCTCTGCAGCAATGGGTTCTACAGTTTCACCTCCCGCTGGCTGAAGAAATTCCTCCTCATCTCAGT